CTCTACTCACCCTTCATTGTGTTTGCAGATACTGCCGCTGTCGTTTCCCTCCATCCTCCCCACCACCACCAGGTTGGCCCCGTCCATGCGGGGGTAGGCTCCGCCCTGCCTTCGTCTTCGGCAGGAATAGCTGGAATCTACAATGTCTGATTCAAGCTACGGATGGGGCCTACGCCAAAATAATTATGTTCTTTGTATTGGTTTTGTAAATAAATACTTTGGCGTTCTATGTTCACCTCCTGAGTCTTTCTGGTAGAAATTATGTGCTCAGTAATTAAAGAGGCAGGGTGGCGTTTCTGTTATTGGTTTGTGACATCCTTTACGGGAAATGCCGGCGCAAGGCTGCTCACAGCGCTTGGTCACGCGTCGCACCGAAACTTATAAATTGCTCACGATTCTGGTTCTTTTCAGAAAATGGAACTGGTTCTGAATAAGAACCGGTTCTCGGTTCCCAACCCTACCTCTGAGTATACATCAGTTAATATTGGGGTCAACCCAACAACACATTTTTTGTAATATTCTAGTGGGAATCCATCAGAGCCTGATGATTTTCCAGATTTCAAAGACATTGTAATAGATTTTACCTCTTCTTCTGTTATCTGTGTAAGTCTCGTTCAACAGGGGATAAAGTGGACCATATATCATTGCCTAAAAGGTCTTTCAACTCAGATTTCTGACTATAGCTGGATTCTGATGTTTTGTTTCTGATGATCATCTTATGATTTTGAATAAAACTGGTTAAAATCCTATTAATTTCTTTGTCGGAGGTAAGCACCTTATTTCCCTACTTAATTGCAGGTATGATGTGAGATGCATCATATTGCTGTCTTGCTAGAAGTTTCCCAGCTTTTCCCCCACTTTCATAATACTTGGTCTTCAATCTAAACCATGCATATTCTGCCTGTTTATTAAAGAATTCGTGTAGATCATTTTTTAACTGAAAAAAAGTAACAATTTTGTTTCTGTAAAACCTTGCACCAATGCCTTTTCTAAGACACTGATTTGTTTTACTAGAAGTTTCACTTTTTCCAACACATTCTTTTTTCTTTCTACTGGCATAAGCAATACATTTTCCTATAACATATGCTTTAGATGCATCCCATACTGTTGCTAATCTTGGAGTTGACCCAATATTAAGTTAAAAAAACATCTTTATGTCATCCTGTAATGAATTTACAAAGACCTTATCCACCAAAATTAAAGTATTTAGTCTCCACCTACCTCTTTTCTTATAATCAATCTTCATTGCATTTCTAATTTGAACTCCACCTGTGCATGATCTGTCAATGATATAATTCCAATCATACAGTCAGCAACAGAGTCAGTTAATTAGTTCGAGATCAGAAAAGAATCATGTAGCAAAGTTCATAGTTCGGGAAGAAGGAGGCGGGAACCGGCGGACATTTAAACAAACTTTAATAAAATAAACAAACACAAAATAGCGCGACAGCCCCTCGCGGACGACTGTCGCGCACAAACAAAACCAAAACACAAAATAAACGAATTTTATTTTTGCGAATTGCGAATGAGCCTGCATCAGTGTGGAAAGGCCTGAAGGACATCACCAACTACAAGACACCATCCCCCAGCACTGAGGCCAATCAACAACTTGCTGAAGACCTGAATGAGTTTTACTGTAGATTTGAAACTCCCAGTCTAACACCCCACACCCGCTCTGAACATCTCTCCACACAACCATCAACACCTCCTGCAACCCCCCTCTCCCCCACTCCTACGTTTCAGATCAGTGAGGATGATGTGCGCCAGGTCTTCAGAAAGAACAAGAGAAGAAAAGCACCAGGCCCAGACGGTGTGACACCAGCCTGTCTGAAAACCTGCGCTGACCAGCTGGCCCCCATCTTCTCACAGATCTTCAACAGACCACTGGAGCTGTGCAAAGTCCCTGCCTGCTTCAAATGCTCCACCATCATCCCCGTCCCAAAGAAACCCAAGTTAACAGGACTTAATGACTACAGACCTGTTGCCCTAACGTCTGTGGTCATGAAGACATTTGAGAGGTTGGTGTTGGCTTATCTGAAGGACATTACTGGACCATTACTAGACCCCCTGCAGTTTGCTGCACCCAGCCCTGGCTTTGCTCTGTCCCGTCCGAGTATTAAGGTGCTACGTAGACCGGACACAAAGCTTCAGGACCTCAGACCAGCTCTTTGTCTGTTACGGAGGCTGGCAGAAGGGGAATGCCGTCTCTAAGCAGAGGATGGCCCACTGGATTGTGGATGCCATCACCCTGGCTTATCAGGCACAGGGTGTGCCCTGCCCATTCAGGCTGCGAGCTCACTCAACTAGAAGTGTTGCATCCTCCTGGGCGTTGGCTCGTGGCGCCTCGCTGACAGATATTTGTAGGGCTGCGGGCTGGGCGACCCCCAACACGTTCGCTAGATTCTATAGCCTCCGTGTGGAGCCGGTATCCTCCTGTGTTCTCACCTCAAACAGGTAGTGGTGCCGAGAGGCCCCGGTTAGTGTCGGCTTGCTAAAACTGCTCCAGAGTGTCCTACAGTAGACCCTGTTGAGATCCTCCGTCACCCTCGGCGCCTCGCTCCGTTCCCACGGCTCTCGGCCCCGCCCCTCTCGTCACAAATCAATTCTCAAAAAAGGACTTGAATGTGTAAGAATGTGTATTCCCTTTCTCGTGGGTTAACCAGTCTCCAAATATCTGTTAGTTCATTGTCATCCTTCAGAGTATGAATAGCAATTACCTCCAAGTATAACATGTATTTCGAGGTTGGCCAATATATATATATATATATATATATATATATATATTTAACTCATGAAAGAATTCAGGCTCCTCCTTACTTTGTGCATATATATTACAAAGCACTTGAAAATCATTGAGCTTCACTTCTATGCAGAGTAGACGACCCTCCTTGTCTTTATGCAAATTCATTAATACAAAAATATTTTTTTTCCTCACTAGAATGGCTCCTCCGCTCCTCTTGCTTGATACAGAATTATCACGTCTCAGTTTCAAGGCTTCCTTTTCACCTTTAAACTGTGTTTCTGGCAAAAAAACAATATCAGCTTTTCTGATCTTATATGTCATTACTTTCTTCCTTTTAACAGGTGACCCACAGCCATTAATATTCCAAGTTATGATATTTATACCTTGTCTATCCATTACACATTAATAAAATATAATACTTTGCACCTGTTGTGCTCCAATGCAACTTGCTTTGCTCCAAATAAAAAGAGAAAATGAAACTTTAACATAAACAGCAGGGGCGTTTCCTCCGAGGAGGCAAGGGTGGCAGTGTCTCCTCAAAAAGTTGGATGAGAAAATAATCAATATTACAAAAATAAAACAGCACACATATGACTAAATATGATATTAAAAGTCTAAAAGTCACTCATTTTTATAAAGTTACACTGTCCAACAGTGACACCCACAGCTAAAGTTACAGCGGAGGCTTGCCTCCCTTTGGTCCATTGGCTTTCTGCAGAGACCCCAGAGCGTGCCGTGACTTTTCTGGAGGCTCATTGAGATGAATGGGGGAAAGTCACGTGAGAGGAGGTAATGCCTCCATCACGCTATAATTGGATATGATCGGTTAAGGTTGGATGTGATTGGTTCGTGTGATAAATCCCGCCTCTTGTTTTCGTGCGAGCTCTCGGTTTGAATGAAGAAAATTATGGTGTTATGGACTAATTATAAAGTAAGTAAACAACTCTCCCACTTAGATACCACTACTTTGTATCACGTCAAAATATAACTCTAAATGGTCTGAAAACGTGATGACTGCTTCTGGGTGATGAAATGAAAGATATATCTTCGTGTCTGTGGCAGTGTTTACAGAGCTTTTATGACGATGACCCGAAATAAGTTGACTATTAAAAAGAATAGCTGAAAATAAGTTCACAAATAAAAAATATTGATAACATTTTACAATAAGGTGTCATTTAA